TCTATAACACGCGGCTGGAACGAAACGATACGCGGACGTTTATATTTCGGAGCAATATCGCGCGAGAGTACATTCGGGAAATAATCTCGAGTTGCTGGCGCGCAAAGGCAGCTCGGCTGCAGAGCAAAGGGCTAAAACGGGAAGAGGAGCGGTGGAGAGAAACGCCGGAGGAGACGGGATTCCGAATCGACGCGGACTATGCGTGGCGCGCGAGATCACAGAGACGGAATCCCGACGTAAACAGGCTTAAATTGTAATCTCGGGCTTTCGGTTCTCTCTCGCGGTGGGATACTTGTTGCTCGTCTACTCTTTGATGTCCGGTCATGCGGCGCTTGAGAGATCAATATGCGCTCATTAACGAGTGCGGTCGCTCGCGGTGCCAAAGGGACGCGCATTCACAGGGAATATCGCGGTAACGTTAACCTTGACAGTTGACATGCACGATTATTATCCGCCCTTCTTTTTACGGCCGACAAAACGTGTTCGTTCATCACCGCTCAAAAACAATGAGAGAAATGTCACTTTTGTCTCCGTCAATCGCGTTGTATTTTCAATCGCTACAAATGCTACGAAATGGAGATGTGTTCATTACGTATTTTAAATAAATTGTAGGCTATATTATGCGCGGAATAATATCTGTATAATTATTTTTCTGAAATCATTTTATTTTGAAATTTATTATTTTTCTGAAAAAAAAAAAAAAAAGAAATAATAACGAAACTTTTAGAAATTGCTATTAGAGAGAGAGGGACAGACGGGGGGAGAGAAGAGGGAGAGAGAGAGAGAGAAACTGTGTAAATATATACTTGTGATTTAGTTTTTATATATGTATAATATATAAAATATATTATCATATCTATCATGAAACAAAACAGTTTTTCGATAATATTGTTAGCTGCAGTACTTTTTTGCGTGACAAATGGATATTTCATGTGAATATAACATATACATTTTAATTACAAAATTTGTTAATTACAAAATTGTTAATTACAAAATTGATTGATGACTGAAATATTTGTTCATTTAATTTCAATATGTTAGGTTAATCTTGACATTTGAACAATATCACCATAAAAACATATTGCATTCAGAAAACAACTATTTTGCGGTATATCTGTTAGCTATGCCATTAACTGGATTTATTGGAGCGGTTAAAACCGCATATTGGATTATAGTCGAAATGCTTATAATTCAAATGCATTATATCGTCATGTAATGGATTACGATAAATCATATCATTTCATAATAGAAAAGCACATATCTAATTTTTTGGAAAATGAGATATTAAGATATTAAGATATAATGAAACATTAAGACATTATATATATGTTTTTGAAATGAGATATTAAACGAAATATTAGTATTCCTAATGCATTGTTATTCAAAAAACATATATGAAAAGTGCATTCCTTTTTTCTCTTGTGAACTTTAGATTTCACGTTTCAACGTCAACGTTCCTTTGTGATGAAATGCTCGATATATATGAGATATTCAAGAAAATGTATTTTAAGAATGTATTTTAATTTTTAAGATTTTTTCTTGTGCGAAATTTGGAATTTGAAAATCTAATTATAGTAGATTTAATTATACTTTATTTATAACACTACAAATGAAAAAGTTATGTTAAATCATTATAATAAATTAAAACACAAGTAAAAACATAAAATTTTATTCTTTAATGTTTGATTTAATTAATTACAATTAAAATTATAAGCGAAAAATGATAGAATATTTAAACTTGCTGCTTTTATGACATTTAATTTTAGACATTAAAAAGCTAAAAATATAATCTTTACTTAAATTTGAACCAAAAAGATACATTACTTTATTTTCATTATATATGTATATTTTTTTCATATATTTTATATAATGTATACATTTTACATTCAAGAAAATAAATTAAAAAAACAATAAAGATTATGTATTATAGGATCTTGTTTGAATATGAATATTATTGAAATATGAATATTATGAAATATATTCATAATCGAAAATAATCCAAATATTTTCACAAATTGCTGCTAAAAATTGCATATTGTTCGGCCGACTTAATCAAACTGTAAAAGCGATTTTTGTTACAATGTTTATTTATACAAAAATGTGTAACAAATAAATTTCTGAATGTAAATTAGGCATAATAAATACAAAAATAAAATAGCATTTTCAGATTATTAAACATTCTTGCATAAAAATGCACGAAAAGCAATAATTTACAAAATAAAAAAAGTTAATTTTGTTTATAATGAATGTTACATGTTTTTACCATTTATGTCTATTTACGCGACAAAGAGAAATTTTTGTAAATTCTCTCTGAATTGCAATTCTCTCAAAGTCCCCGTTCCTAAATCATCGTATGTGGTTAGTTTGGAAAAAAATATAGCATACGTTTCGAAGATAAAACGGTTTTTAAATTTTGGAGTTTATACAAGACATAATATACTCGTACAAGTATAACTGACAATCCAATACATTTTGCGCTATATTTTTAGCAATTTTAGCCATCGTTGAAATAAAAAATGCGGCGATATATATGTGTAATACGTCATATGATTAAATTTATTCCTTCTTTTTAATTTCGAACAAGCCTTTAATACAAAAGTACGTATCATATGGCTGTCAGCGGCAGAGGGCGATAAATTTGCGGGAGAGAATCGCGTGCGATTCGCGCGCAAGTTTGCGGTTTGTCCCATACGCGGCTAGCTACCGAGATGATTTATCGCGTGCGGCGAGATCGCGTGCGTCGTTGCACGAATTGTATACGCCAAATCAAGCGCATCGTAGTCGGCTGTCCAGGAAGTCGCCCTGGTTGAGCTTGCGCTCGAAATAGCGTCTAATCTAATGAGATTCAATCAACGCCGTAATTAATGATAAATATTTGTGTCAATATTTATATCATGCCCACTGCTATAAAAACAGCAGTTAAATTCAATTTAATTATTCATTAAAATTAAAATTTTAACTCCGCGCAACAACTAATTTCGAATAATTAATTTAGGCATGAATTATTTTAAATTTGAATATCTTGCAAAAATATATTATATCGCCTTTCGCAATTATTTGTCTAAAGCGATTTGCTCGTTTAGATACTTTCTTTACTTTTAAAATTTTTTAAATTAAATTTTATTTGATGAAATTTTGAATTATATTTGTCTGACGGAGATTTGACAAATATGGAAATTCAATGTAAATTTGTCATGTGCTGACATACGATTGCATCGCGTAACTTTAATTGTGTGTGATTATCGCTAGAGATTTTTTTAAATTTCGCTTGACATCTTTTTGCATCGTGATAAAATTGACGAGCGATCTACATCCCTTAAAACGCTGTTATTGTCATTCCCTGATCTATCACATTTCCCGCGCTTTCGCGACTAACAAAGAAGGCGCCGTATACTTTGACGCGCGTAAGCGTTCCCGTCACGCGCGAAGAGGATTAAAAATATCAAAGCGAGCGCAGCCAGCAGCAGCAAATCGTTGTGCGCGAGGGGACAAAAGCGCGCGGAAGCGCAGAGGGTAAAGGAGGATTTCCGAGGGCGGCGGCCGCTGAGGTCAAATAACCTCTAGAGAATCCGCGACTGGTACCGGGGAGTTTTGAAGCACGCGGGTGTTCAAAGGCTTTCGTTAAATCATACTTAAAAGTTAAAGGCCACGGTATACGCGAGATGTCTCGCATACGAAGAGACGTCGGGGAGATGAGGGGGAAGCAGGGGGATGAAGGAGGGAAACCTGGAGGGACAGCATGGTGAGAAACGGACGGTGGATATATCCGTGAAAGCAGAATCTCCAGATGATCAAAGAGCGTTAAAAGAGGATTGGGTTGCCTCGGCGCTACTCGTCTTACGAAGCATCCGTGGAAGTGAGCGTGTGTGGTAAGGATGAATTAACGCAAAGGACATTCGCCCCTATTGTTAAGGACGCATTAGCGTTTTCTTCTTATTCGCACTATGAATATGAGATCTCCTGATATATTTATTTATGATCCATCGTCTTTTATTTTATTTATACAATTTAATCCTATTTATATTGATTTTATTTATGTTGATTGCTATTAATTATAATTAATTTTTATTTTCATTTTTATATAAATACTGATTATTTTAATTATTTTGATTAATTGTTTTTGTATAAGTGCTTTGATTATTTTAATTGTTGTTAAACTAGAGTATAGTGTTTTAGAATAATATTTTAGAATAAAAAAATATATAAGGTAATTATAAAATAAAATTAAATAAATAATTATGAGATAAAATAAAAGATAATAATTATAAAATAAAATAAAATAAAATAAATAATTATAAGATAAAATAAAAGATAATAATTATAAAATAAAATAAAATAAATAATTATAAAATAAAATAAAATAAAATATAAAATAAAAAAATATAACAATACTTTTCAAAAATTTATATGTATACATAAAATATTAATTTACAAGGTAAAATAGAAAAATTTATATGAATATTACATAATTAGAATTACAAGTTTTTTTTCAGCTCGTCATAAACTTCAACAAATTAAGACAAGAGTAAAAGGCATTTACGAGCAATCACGAGTTATTAGGTGTGTTAATATAAATTTAATATTTAGGAGATAAGAACAGTGAAAAAACTCAGTAAAACCAATAAGTCCATTGTCTGGCAATTATGAAATATTACTAAAACCTAATGCGTGTATATAACTTCTTATAATATTGTAATGACCGACCGATAATAGATGTAAGTTAGAATTTTTTAAATTTTATATTGTGTTGAAGATGGTTCAAAGAAAGAACCGAAACGTTCACATAAATAAATATTAAATTTATATTAACACACCTAATAACTCGTGATTGCGCGTAAATGCTTTTTACTTTTGTCTTAATTACATAATTAATATTTTTTTATTTCGAATGAAACATATGCATTAAAGTAATGTTTGCAACTTACTATTGCTATATAGGCGTGTCAAGTCGTGAAATTGCGAGAGATTCATCGCTTAGGTAATTTCAAAATTCGACTCACCTGCAACACCGTCCTCATCTTGACCCTCCCGCCAATAACAATAATGCAATCGCTGCTAAAGCGACAAATCTTCGTGTCTTTATTCACATGCGACTGTCGCAGTCCATGTCGATCGCCTTCAATCCATGCGCGTGCACCAAAATGGGTTTATTTTCACGCGGACCATCCTTGTCTCACCAGAGAATCCGAGCACCACGTCCTTCCATTATCCATTGATCCATTCGTATCATCGATGTGACATCAGATAAACGGAAAGTTATATCGAATATGCCGCACGAGGCAATGATAATTGAAAAGGGGTTTCAAGAAGGGGTTGAAGATGTCTCGTGAGAGTCACGTGGTGCGATACGCATCTGCGATACGCGCTCTCTTCTTCAGCGTCCCGCTTGACGGTTCGAAGCACACTGCCGTCACTTTCTGCTTCAGCCGCTTTTCCTTTTCTTCCTGCCTCCTTCTTTGCTCCTTTCGCCGATGCACCCTTCTTCTTCCGAAGGCACGAGGAACCGAGTACGCGCACGTGCCGGGCACGATCGACGAACTAACAGCGACTGACACCTCCTCTTCTTCTCGCCCGATCTTACTTCCTTTTTCTCTTCTTCTCCTCCCGCTTGATTTCGAATTTCGAGACGTTCTCTTTGAATTCGCGATTCTCATGTAAAATCGAACGTCGTATCTAGAGATTTTAAATAGCGCTCATCGAAGAAATTTTTTGGGGACACGAGAGATGTCTCGATAAGGAAATTTAATTGCAATTGGCATAATTTGATTGATCGAAACCGAAAGGGAGAATAGTCTTTTTGGTACGTTTTCACGTGATCTTCTGAGAAATTGGTATGAACTGTTTGATGCTCCTTGCACTGTCGGAGTCGGGGACCGACTGACAATCGGTCCAGCTCAAACCGCGCGAAGTAAGCAACAGCAAGGGGGTAGGGGGAGAACGAGAAGGAGAGTCAGAGAGAGAAAGCGATGAAATAGAGTAGACTGGAGGGTGGTGGAGAGATATGTGGTTCTCACTACCACGTGTAGGGTTGTTTTGGCTGCGACGAGGTCGCGCGATCATTGCGGTCGCTTCAGTATTGATTTCGTCAAATATTTTCTTCCCCCGCATCGCGCTTTTATTATATTTTTTATATTTTATTTATTCGTGAAATTTAAATTTATATTTCATTCATATTTGTTTTTTATATTTCTTATTTATTGTCAATTTGATATTTCTTAATTATCACCAATTTGATTATATTAAATATTTCTACTTTGATTGAAACAGTCTGCGGAAAAATGATGTTAATATGATGTTAATATATATAACAATATATATATAAAATAATCCTTTAATAAATCTTTGGTACTTTGTCGAAATTTTTTCATCATTCATGTATTTTAAAATTAACGAAATCTGTTAATTTGAAAATGATTTGCTTCCCTGTTATTTTACTTAATAATATTTTGACTCAATAAATTCGTCTTTATAATTGATACATGTAACCAATTGACATGGTTATTGCAACAGAGTAAAATGTGCGGTATCGCAATTAGTAAAATTATTAATTTATGATTGTTTACACATGTTTCTTAATTAATGTAGAATCAACAAAGATAATTATACGACAATAATGAAAATATACATCTCGCATGAGATGTCAAAATGTCAAAAATGACAAAAAGTTAACAATTATATTAAACTCACTACAAAAATGTTAATGATTTATTTATTTTATAATTCGATTATCAGAATGATTTCCTGGCTTGTTGCCATTTTCCATATAAAAGCAATAATATGTATGTAACATATCATAGACATATTATTAAGCGTGGCATAATATCAATTCCATCGTTATACGAGGATGATCAATAAATGCCTCATAGATGAGTTCCCCTGATTTATTTATTTCTGAATTTCTATTAACATAATTACATTTAAATATTTGACTTTTAATTGATAGCCAATTCGATTGAAATAATTACGGTTGGTAATAAGTCCGATGATATTATCATATTCCATTTTCCGCGTATGCATTTTGCGTAGCCTTGAATTAATTTGTTGTTCATTCATCGCTGCCAGAGAAGTTATTATCCGCGATATTGTTGACATCGTGCGTTGTATCGCAGTATCGCACAATATTTGCATGTAATATTACGTAGCGCTGGAAAATTGTCAAGCTGGTATATTGTTAGAGGCATTTTTTTCGCGTAATTGTGGTTTAAACGTTTTTATGGTTTATTTTATCATCGCGCTGAACGCATCGAATATTCAATTAACAAATGACGCGTTGTCTATTGCACATAGTTCGCGTTAGCCGATTCGTTCATTCGTTTCTCTCGTCAACTGAAGCTTAAATTTGCAATTTTATTCAACAAACATCGCAATTCACAATATGATACGAATATCAAACAATGCGCTCATTTTTCATGAAAGAATTCTGATATTTAATCAAATGCATTAGTTTATTTCGTATTTAAAAATGTGAAATTAATAGTGCATTATGATTGTCACTCATATATTGTAATATTTTTGTACAAAATAAATATACCGAAAATTTTATTCTCTTTGTATATCTTATTCTCTTTTACAGGGTGTCCCGAAACTCATAATCAATCTTTCAAAGACAGATTCCTGGGATCATCTGAAGACGATTTTTCCTCAACGAAAATGTCGAGGCACTAATAATTTTTGAATTATAAGTGATTGGAAATAAGGGGTTTTACGTAAACTAAGCTTTGTAGAAATAAAATATTGACAAAACCACATTCTTCGATTAATTTTAAATAGAGTTTACTTTAGTTGAGTTTTAATTTAAGGCTTAATTGCAAAGATATATGATGACAAAAATCGGGAACACGCAAAAAATGATGGCCTTCATCGATATTTTCGCTGAGGAAAAATCGTCTCCAAATGATCCCAAGAATCTGTCTTTGAAAGATTGATTATGAGTTTTGGGACACCCTGTATAAAAGAGAATAAACAATTTATTAATCAAAACAAATTTTTTAAATTTTACAATAACATGCGTCTTCTGTTCGTAATAAATATTTTTAAATGTAAAAATATGTTGACTTATTAATAAATTATAAAATTATGATAAATAACATATATAAAAGATTTTCTTTGTAGAAAATTCTGATTTTAAATGCTCTCTCTCTCTTTGAAACGCGGCCTTTTGATTTCTCTGATATTTCAATCTCGATTCTCAATTATCAATTAAGTTCCTATCTTGCTACAATTAATTTCAGCAATTAAAAATCTAATACACGCAATTCGCTGCATAATAGCGTAGTGCAGTCGTTTTTTTTCGACGACAGATGACCGTCGCAAATAACCGTAGTGCACCGTGACGCTGTCATCTCCGGTGTTGTTTGTCCCGAAATCGTTGACGAAAGATCAAAGCTTAAAGTATTCGAAGTCGCCGACAAAGGCAGCCGACGACAGCAGTCGTACTCTTCGTGAACAGTACCTGCAATTCTTTTTCTGCGTCTCCGATATGAGAAGGGTAACGATCGATCTGCCATTAAGTCACGATGGACACTTCTCACTTGTAACGGCAGCACGTAGTTAGGGAGTCCCCGACACGTTTACAATAGCGGTCCCTCGCCCCCATCCAACTGACTTCTCGTCGCCACTGTAATCGGTCGGCATTAATCTTAAGGATAGGGTAGGTGGGAGGTACCGACCTTCGTCGAGGTCGCGGCTCGTTCATGGAGTTAATGCAAATTGCGCACGGGAATCTTACGACTAGTAATGAGGAGGCTCCCTTGATCGTCGGTTATTTAGCGATGGGGCAATTTGCAAGCCGCATTATTAGAAAGCGGTAGACTCATGCAAAGGGATATCTCTCTTCTTTGTAGTCACGGGATCATGTGGCTGGCAATGCTTGACCTGTAAGTGCATTCTATCGCGGAATTAAAGGTGCAAGACCCATTTCCGTTTGTTGCTCTCCTTTTATAAATATTTGATACATTTATTTTTTAATTATTGATTTCTTTAAATTATTCGGATTACTTAGTAATATAGTTATGTATTTTTAGTAGGATAAATATACCTCTAATTATTTTTAATTTAAGAAATATTTAAGTTTTAATATACGATAAATAGGAAATGTATTCTGATTAGATAATTATATATTATATATGTATGATATATATTATATATTTTTATTATTATTTTGATAGAAAATCTCTAAGATATAAATTAAAAGACAGCGAGAGAGAAAAAGAGAAAAATTAAAAAACTTATCATAATTATGAATCTAAATTTTCCTGTTTATTTTTTTCAGAATTTATGACGTTTAAATGATCTGTTTTTTATTGTGATTTATTGAGATTAAACATACGCGCAATAATTTAATTAATGAGCAATTCATAAATCCGAACAAGCAATAATTTGTAATGTCTATAAATAAAAAAAAAAAAAAAAATATATATATATATATTCAATATTTAGAATAGTTTCATATTAATACTAAGCCTAACCACGACCAGGTGAGTTTTCAAATTTTTCAAATTTTGTAAACGATAAGTTTTTTATTTTTTTAACTTTTTTTAAATCAATACAAAATTATCTGCATTTAATTGTAAAAAATACAACTTTTTCTTAAAGACCATTTGATCGGTTTTTGATCGATATAAATAGATATACATAAATTGTCGATAAGTTTAATGTTAAGTTTTTCCTCATTTCCGTAAGATGTTTATCAATTTAAAAGAAAATTAACAAGAATGAAGAAGAGGAAAATATTTATCCAGTAGAAAAGCTGGAGACTTATTTGTTTATCCTTCGACCTGCGATTTATTTTCCTTTCTCTCTCGATGATTCAAAACAACTCGGTGATGGCACCAAGCACTAGGAACATGCTACGTACTGACTACATGAGGCATTGCCATTCAGCGTGTTATTGTTATCACTACGTCGTTAATGTTCGCGTAAAAAGAGCTCGTATACCTTACAACCACGTTAATGACATGTAACAAGATAAGGTATATATGCATACTATATATGTCCGCTATAAAAGCCGGTAGTCTATCGCGACGGGGTGTTTGTTGAGCAACGCGTATTCATTGTTAGATACTTACAAGCGAGCAGGGAGAAGAAGAAGAGGAGAATCGGACAGTGCGAGGGAGAGAAGAAGGCAGAGGAGCGTGAAAAAGTCCATACTCTCGAAAAACGGGTTTGCGGTGCCGCGGGTGCTGCCGGGTGCGTTGTAGTTTATCGTCAGAATCGTGTAGCATGTTACGGTACACCGCGATCATTAGCAGCTAGAAACTGCCTGCTGCCGGCGGGAAGGCTGTACGATACTCTCTTTGACATCCGTTCGTACTGATTCTTTATATTGCTGATTCAAGGATTCTGCTCGTGATTCCAACAGAGAACAAAAAGAGTAGAATAAAAATTTATTTATAATATTATTTATAATATTAGTTTATAATATTATTCTTTTATTTTATATAGTAATTTTATGCGAAAGATGATGAAAGAAAAAATGATCGAAACGTCCATCTTGATTAATGAATAAATAGTTTCTACAAGAATTCGATTACGCTTCAATTAGCTACGTCCGGAAAAATTTATTATTTTTCGGAATAATTTTTTTGACAAAAATGTAATGGGCCAATGCAAGTAGTAAAAATAGATATTGTGAAATGCCAATTTTTAGCGTGGGAAATTGTAATTATGTTCTACGAAGATAAAATTTTCTAAAAATGGAGAGCAGTGGAGTATAAAAAAATATAACAGAATTTTAACGAGATAGAGGATAAAATGGAAAGAATAGAATAAATATACAGAATAATCAATTACGTAGAGTAATAACTTGTGTATTTATAACGCGAAAAAGTTTTTAAAAAAAGAAGACTAATGTATACATGTA